GGGGGGGCGGGGGGGGGGGGGGGGGGGTGGGGCCCCCGCCCCCTGTCACACACAAGAGCTGCAGGGCGATCAGGGGGTTTGGGCGCTGCCCCCTGTCATGCTGATCCCGGTGCCGGGAGGTCTCTCGGCTCCGCTGATCCCGGTGCTGGGAGGTATATTACCCTTTTACTATATAGATTAGAAGCCTGGTGCATGGGTGGGGCTGGCTGGTTTGCCCTGAAGGGGGTCCTGGATCAGGGTGGGGGTCCCCACGGGGGGGCCTGGCCAGCCTGGATGAGGGGATGATGACTGTTTGCAGCTGGTCACACACCCTCAGGGTGGGGGTCCCCACTGGGATGCCTGGCCAGTCTGGGTGAGGGGCTGAGGGTTGTTTTCAGGCTGGGGGTGACTGAAGCTCCCAACCGCTCGTTTTTTTCTTTTTTTTTTATTCTGGGCCAGCTTTAGCTCTGAGGCTCCAGCTCTTAGACCTTTGCTCCTGAAAGCAGGTATCTGGCTTTGTTTCGGTTCTATAATCGAAACAATGTATAACTCTAGCTCTGAGATCCCGGCTAGCTGAATGCAGGTTTCTGGGGTTTTGTTTAGCTTCTATATTTGTAACAATGTTTCAAACTGCAAACTCAGAGGCCGAGCCCAGCAGCGGCAGGCGGGGAACGTTGGAGTCCTCTGTCACTGAAGCAAGCAAGCCTCCTGTTCATGGCAGTAGCCTGGCTGCCAGCCGCCATCTTGGCTGGCAGTTAATTTGCATATCACCCTGATTAGCCAATGGGAAGGGTAGCAGAAGTATGGCTAATTACCATGTTTCTGTTTTATTAGATAGGATATTATACCTTTAAGTAATATAACAGCAAGGAAAAAAAATAAACCTCTTGTTAGAGTCTTTTAAGTAAAACCTTTCTATGTATGTTAGTTTAATTTATATTTTCAGTAAAGAGAAATATGAAATGATTGACATTTACACTTAATTTCTCAAGTAAGCATATCCCAAGTTGACAAATTTCTATTCCATATTTATCAGTATTAGGCCTGCAAAGGCCCAGATAATAAAGAAAAGAAGCTAAAATGTCATCTAAATTTTAGCCATTAACTAAAATTCCAAGTTGAAACAAAAACCCTTAGCAGCATCTAAATATGCTGCTAATTCAAGATGAATTTTCTTTTGTTTTTGTTAATGTTATTAAAATATATTCTCTTTATTTAACTACTCCCAATATTTTTTAGCCTAGACATTGACAAATATCTAATCTGCTGTCTAATACAGTTCACCAAGCACAAGTCTATTTAATTAAAATAAAATGAAGTGAAAAATTCAATTCTTCAGTCTCACTAGCCACATTTCAGGTGTTCTATGCCTGACAACGCAAACATAGACTGTCTAAACCACTGCAAAAAGTTCTATTAGGCAATCAGTGATGTTCTAGACCAGCCGTAGGCAAACTATGGCCTGCGGGCTGGATTTGGCCCATTTGAAATGAATAAAACTAAAAAAAAAAAAGACTGTACCCTTTTATGTAATGATGTTTACTTTGAATTTATATTAGTTCACACAAACACTCCATCCATACTTTTGTTCCGGCCCTCCGGTCCAGTTTAAGAACCCATTGTGGCCCTCGAGTCAAAAAGTTTGCCCACCCCTCAACTAAGTTGTCTGATTGGGAAGAATATACTATATGTATTGGGCTCATCCTCACCCTTCTTTTTGGGGGGGAGACAGCTTACCAGCATTTCACTGGTAACTAACATCATAAAGATGTCAACTGTTGGTACTCTGAGGGAGGAAGTACTGACTCACCGTTCTCCCTGGATTGGCAGTGCCATGACTCTACAAGTCTGCCTGCCTTGTGGTTCAGTTAATGGATCCATTCAGCTCTCCCGCTAATCCACATCTTTCAAATCTATTTTTATCAATAGTAAAGTTGATATTTTGGCCCATATCTGCCACTCCTTTACTTCTCAACTGATTCAAAACCAAAGTAGAAAAGAAGGTACTCTTTATTAGAAACTCTGAAACTATCCATAATCTTTTTTTCAATTCTTTATTGTTTAAAGTATTACGTATGTTCCCTTTTTCCCCCATTGACCTCTCCCTAGCCACTCCCACCTCCCAGCACATGCCCTCGCCCCCCTATTGTCTGTGTCCATGGGTTATAGCAGTGGTTCTCAACCTTCCTAATGCTGCGACCCTCATGTTGTGGTGACCCCCAACCATAAAATTATTTTCGTTGCTACTTCATAACTGTAATTTTGCTATTGTTATGAATCATAATATAAATATCTGATATGCAGGATGTATTTTCATTGTTACAAATTGAACATAATTAAAGCATAGTGATTAATCACAAAAACAACGTGTAATTATATATGTGTTTTCCGATTAGGCGACTCCTGTGAAAGGGTCATTCGACCCTCAAAGGGGTCGCGACCCACAGGTTGAGAACCCCTGGGTTATAGTTATATGCATGCACACAAGTCCTTTGGTTGATCTCTTGCACCCCCCCCCCTTCCACACACACACACCCTCCCCTGCCTTCTCTCTGAGGTTTGACTGTCTGTTCGATGCTTCTTTGTCTCTGGGTCTATTTTTGCTCAACAGTTTATGTTGTTTATTATATCCCACAAATGAGTGAGATCATGTGATATTTATCTTTCTCTGATTGGCTTATTTCGCTTAGCATAATGCTCTCCAGGTCCATCTATGCTGATGTGAATGGTAAGAGTTCTTTCTTTTTACAGTGGCATAGCATTTCACTGTGTAGATGTACCACTGTTTTTTAATCCACTCATCTGCTGATGGGCACTTAGGCTGTTTACAAATCTTAGCTATTGTAAATTGTGCTGCTATGGACATAGGGGTGCGTATACACACCGAGAGGAGACTCCATCTATGAATGGGACAATGACATTCAAGACCCAACAGCATCAGGAGATGTTGATTTGTTGATGATAGCCATTCTGACAGGTGTAAGATAATACCTCATTGTTGTTTTGATTTACATCTCTTGGATGACTAGTGACTTTGAACATGTTTTCATATGTCTCTTGGCCTTCTTTATATTCACTTTCGAAAAGTGTCTATTTAGGTCCTTTGCCCACTTTTTGATTAGATTGTTTATTTTCCTTTTGCTAAGCTGTATGAGTTCCTTATAAATTTTGGAGATTAAACCCTTATCAAATATAACATTGACAAATATGTTCTCCCATGCAGTGGGCTCTCTTGTTGTTCTGCTGATGTAATCTTCTGATAGTCATTTGTCAATTTGAATTATCAAACTTTAAAATTAGTGACTCCACAATTCAGAAATATTC